CCACATGTAGTATCTATATATGTAATATCAAAGCAATTGGACTTGTGTTTTAACAAGAAGTCGAAAAATATCACTATTTACCAAAAATGACAAAAATATTCACCAAAATTAGAGAATTGAGGATATCATCACAAAATGAACAAATCTGAGAAAGGTCCACATGTAGTTCCTATATATGTAATATCAAAGCAATTGGACTTTTGGTTTTTAACAAAAAGTCGAAAATATCACTTTTTACCAAAAATGACAAAAATATTCACCAAAATTAAAGAATTGAAGATATCATCACGAAATGAACAAATCTGAGAAAGGTCCACATGTAGCATCTATATATGCAATATCAAAGCAATTGGACCTGCGGTTTTTAACAAGAAGTCAAAAATATCACTTTTTACCAAAAATTACAAAAATATTCACCAAAATTAGAGAATTGAAGATATCATCATGAAATGAACAAATCTAAGAGAGGTCTACCCCAGGTACATACACACCAAGTATCAAAGCATTCAGGCTTGTAGTTTTCAAGAAGAAGTCGAAAAAGTAAAACATTGACACGGACGACGGACGCCGACGGACAATCACTCATATGATAAGCTCCGCTCGACAAAGTCGACAGCGGAGCTAAAAACATATACACACACACACATACAGACAGACACACTAACTGCAAAGACTCCCATTGTGTGCTTCGCACACAGGAGTCAAAAAGGAAACAAAAAGTCAAGTTCTCCAATGACAACTACAGAAATAAAAACAGATTCTAATTCAGCTTTGTTTGTTTCACAGAGGTTTTGGATCAATTTGTTTTGAACTATCTGGGAAAATTACAATTTAATTTCATTTCAAACTATGTTGTTAAAAAGTTACAGAGTTTTGTGTAATCTGTTGTATGTATGAATTTTTTGTCTCCCCAAAAGTGAATTACATCCCATAATGCACTGCAAATCACAGATTCTGACTGGGCTTCAGGTCTAGCCATGTGATAAGGTGAAATGTAGACAAAGTGTCTTGATTAATGGCAGAATGTAAATGAGGAGAAAGTTTAATTCTAATTTTAGTTTCTGCTAGCAAAACAGCAAGAAATGCAAACGTGTGATAAATAAGATATCAAATTTTGTGA